GTACTAACCACAAGCCCAGTACTAACCACAAGCCCAGTACTAACCACAAGCCCAGTACTAACCACAAGCCTAGTACTAACCACAAGCCTAGTACTAACCACAAGCCTAGTACTAACCCGTACTACGTTAATTAGCTGCGAATCCAAACCACCAACTTCAACGTCGACTACAGAGACAGTGACTAAGCCTATCACTACTAGCTCACCACAGGTGTTGTCGACATCACTAACTTCAAGCCCAGTACTAAACCCAAGCCCAACAGCAAACCCAAGTGTCAATTATTTGGTGGTGGGAAATGTAGCCGCGTTTCTGGCACTGTTAGTCCTGTTCATCGTATCCGCCATTACTATGAGATTCGGTTACATTCGGAGAGAGGAAAATGATTTTATTGTTGTAGACTTTGTTTAATATTATTAATGATTGTCACAAAACAAACTTATTTCCCGTTTCTTATTAATTGGTTTTATTAACATTTCTGTCAGTTATTTAATAATGATTTTTTGAAATTAATTATGATTTTCATTTTTAAACAAATAATTTATGTATTTTTTATTTAATGTTTTATTTCAAGTAATTTTTGCTTTAAATGTTAATTCTATTATACTGTCACTTTTGTACATAATTTAAATAAGTTACAATTAAATTAATGGTATATAATATTAAAATAAAACAAATTCTTTCATCTATTTTAGTGATGCAAATGGCCAAAGATTATCCCATAGATGTCCCAAGTGTACCATAGATTATAATATAACTAACTAGTAGGGATGTTAGCGGGTAAATGACCCAGGTTACTCTGATGTGCAACGCTAATCTATTTGAACAATTATTTGAGTAAATCTGTAATAAACTTTGATTTAGGTTTCAAACCGACCACGAGTTTTCACTTAAAATTTGTGGACAATTTGTTTTATGAGCCAAACGTCTGTCGGAAAAACGTTTTTCCGCGAAACTATCGGTGCTTTGATTTCACAGACATTAATAAACCTCAGGAACTAATTATTGGACACAAACAATGGCTGACTATTATCTTAAGTCAATGATCGCCGAAACTGAGAGTCCGTACGAAGTGTTGGCTATATTTGCGTTTAAACTTAAATTTCGATATCTGGTACTCTATAGAGAAGGTCTGGATATCACGTATTGTATTGAAGAGTATTTTGCATATTGTAGTGGAGTAAGAATTATGTCAATCCAAATGTAATTTTATTTTAACCAGATTGATTTATTATAGCGCCATACACCAAAACGTACGCTAATACTGTAGCAGATAATCCAATTACCTGGGAGTTATCAATCATGTGGTCATTGGTTACTATTATTGTTATTGTTTTGATTGTATATTGATATGACCACAAGTTTATTAGTCATTATTTGTAAAAACTACTGTATAATAACTTCTGTAAACTCTACTCATACTGTTGTAAACCCCTATCAGCCAATCCAAAGCCAGTACTTTTCCATGTATTGCTGCACTCTTTACTTGTATTTTTCCATTGAATACCTATACTCTCACACACACTCTGTATCCTACTTAAGACGCGCTCAAACCTATGCAGAGCTCAGTCTCGCCTCAACCATCGACATGTAAACTTCATGTTTTTAACTCAATAAATACTTTTACCCCGTGTTCATCGCCTCATTCACTCACCACTCATCTCACATGTCTTTTGTTCACTGAGAACAAGTGGACACAATTGGCCGCCAAGAAGTAATCTGCGCCAACTTCTCAATTGCTGTCCCCGCGTCGCAACTGCGCGAATACTTGTCAACTCAGTGTCATAACAAAAGTGGCGCAGTCGATAAAGATCACACATACTTGATCCCTACCTTCGCCCGTATCCCAACGCTTCACACCAATGGCTCGAACACGACGTGGACAACAACCACCTCCGACTCCATCACAATCTCCGCCGCCGTCGTCTCATCACTCCGAGAGTACAGACACCGCTAACTCGCCAGAGATGTCTACTCGACAAACATCTCCGCGCCTCCCGAAGTTCAGCGGAAAGTCAGACTCTGGACTCACTATTGAGGGCTTCTTCCGTCTCTTCGACTACACGTTTCCGTCACTCACAGACAACGAGAAGATCGGACGCCTCATTGAGTACCTCGAAGGAGAAGCCGCCGATTACTTGGGAACCGGAGTACTTCTCACCGATACCATCACATGGTCTGAAGTGGTCGAGAAGTTCACCGCCCGATACGCGCACTCCGACATACAGCCGCTCACTGCCGCCCATCGCCGCCGTCTCGAACACAACGAGAAAATACGGAAGTATTTCGACGAGAAGACCAGAATACTTCGTCGCGTCCCCGGTCTCACCGAAGTGGACATGACTGGTGTTCTCACCGAAGGTCTCCCAGAGAAGTATCGCCCACACTTCTTAGGCAAACGATACTCTTTGGCCAAATGGCTCACCAAAGCACAGGACGTCGAAGCGGACTTCGACCGCACTTCTCAGAACTCCTCTGCCCGTACATCACATCACTCATCGCATCGCTCATCAGCAGCTAATCACATGTCCCACAGCTCTGGACACCAAAACGATGAACACAACACCTCACATAACTCATCATCCCAAAGAACTTCTCAACGCACTCGTCGACAGACCGGAAACTCCTCTAACGAGTGCCCGTACGCGTGTCGTTACTGCGCGGACATCGGTCTGGTTGTCTACCATTGGCACCGCGACTGTCCAAACAACACGAGTAGTAACACATCGACGACAAGTTCTTCTGGTACTTCTACTCCTCAGACATCTCAAGAGAGCACTTCACAACCGCAATCACATAACAACTGTATAACAACTCATACCATGTCTGCCGCCGCCGCAGCTCGAGATGTTATACTCATCCCCGGCCGGATCGCATCATTACATCTCTCCATGTTTGCCGATCCCGGTTCCGATACAGACATTATGCCATTACATGTCGCCCAACGTCTCCGCCTCTCCACCAAGAAGTCTCGCAAAACTTCTATAGCGTTGGCCAGAGGTTCGGTACAGACCGTTGGAGAAGTAACGTTCGATCTGACGATCAACCATATGGTACGGCGAGTTCACGCACAAGTTCTCGTTGGCTTCAGATATGGACTCCTTCTCTCCCTCCCAACACTCGGACGCTTTGGAGTCGTCATCAATACATCTACTCGTGATGTCTCGTTCGACGCCAATCAACCGATGATTGAGCCGTCGACAGCTGTCCGTTCAATCAATTCAAACCCGGCGTTACGTTCAGTACATCACATCTCATCGACAAGTTCAGCACAGCCTGAGCGCAATACATCACTTCATTCAGGAGAAGTTCCCACAAGAACATCTCCCAAACGATGCCATCTCATATCACGAGAAGTTCCCGCACATCGCCGCCCCGACGGAACTTCACATCAATCGACCGCTGCATCAGATGTCAGAAGTAACCACACTCTACACGGACTTCTTAGACAATCAGCCCCTCTCTTCACGACCAGCACTTCTCATCACAGACACGATGTCGTAGAACAGCGTATTCTGCCGACCGATACAACTCTCTGCAAACAGCGAACATACCGTCAATCACTTCCAAATGCAGCCAGACCTGCGCGCCAAGCGAATGAACACCTCATCACAGGGTTCGGAAGTAAGTGTGTTGTCCCGCACAGCGCGCCCTTCACTTCGGCGTCAATCATAGACGGATCGCAACGCTTGTCTTGTGGCGGACCACGAGTCGACCGAAAACATGTTTTCTCGCACACATCAGTTCCCCGAGATGTTCCCAAAACTTCTCAAATCATTACTTCTCAAACTAATACTTCTTTACCAGAACTTCTCTCACAGAACTTCTCTCACAGAACTTCTCCCGCAGAACTTCTCTCACAGAACTTCTCTCGCAGAACTTCTCATCCCAATACTTCTCAGTACAGGAACATCTCCACCGAAACTTCATTCAAACGAACGTACGCTTCCGTAACCTCTCTCCGAGAAGTTTCCATAACTCCTCTCAACAGAACTTCTCGAGAAGTTATCAAAACACAAGTTTTCAGTCGTTCACTGCCGATCACAACATCGCAAACACTTCGCCGACTCAACACTTCGTCCACAAACTCTTCAGGTCTCCGTTGGACTCGAATGCCTCACCTACGGGACCAGTCTTTCGGCGTCGGGGAGTGATATGACCACAAGTTTATTAGTCATTATTTGTAAAAACTACTGTATAATAACTTCTGTAAACTCTACTCATACTGTTGTAAACCCCTATCAGCCAATCCAAAGCCAGTACTTTTCCATGTATTGCTGCACTCTTTACTTGTATTTTTCCATTGAATACCTGTTACTCTCACACACACTCTGTATCCTACTTAAGACGCGCTCAAACCTATGCAGAGCTCAGTCTCGCCTCAACCATCGACATGTAAACTTCAAACTCAATAAATACTTTTACCCCGTGTTCATCGCCTCATTCACTCACCACTCATCACATCCTTTCTTTTGTTCACTGAGAACAAGTCTATAACCGCTGGTCGCGAGAAGTTCCCGCTATAACTTCTCCCCAGTTGTTCCGCACCGTTACCGTGCGAATACTTGTCCACTCAGTGTCATAACAATATATTACTAAAAAGTTCCTTAAATGGGTTAAAATTATGGTTCAACCACTTTTGTTCCTTTATCCTAGAAATTACAGATTAATACTATATTTTAATAATTATTTTAATCTAATAGAGTTAAGTTGGTTTTATATAAACATGAATAGAATATAAATTATATTATTTAATTTAATAAAAACTATAAGAGTATTCTTTTGTAATATAATTTATGTAAAATTAAATGAATTATTAAAAGTCTAAATTATAAAATTATAAATTTTGATGCATAAAATATTGATTAAGGGTATAATATGAGGGGATAAATCACGGATACATGCATGCTGGATACTGGATACTGTATGCTAGCAGTGATTCAATTGTTTTCTATGGGATGAGAAGTATTCATAATTTGTCACAATTCCTCAATAATAATACCAATATTGAATCAAGTTTGTAAAATAGTTAGTCAGTCACCTGGGCTCACAATCACCGATAGGTAATTAGTATTACCATTCAGTTATAAATACTTCTCATGCCATAGAAAACAATTGATTCAGTGGTAGCGCATTTGTGATTTATCCCCTCATATTTATAAATTTTTGTTAAAATATATCCAAAATAAAATTAATTGTAATTTTTTAAGTGTGTAATTAAAACTACAAAAACAGTTTAAATAAAATCAATGGATAAGCGGATCATAATATGTAATTCATAAAATTAATTAAAAACTTACATAATTATAATTGTTTATTTATTTACGTATAAAGGGATTGTTTGTATTGTATGGCAACTCAACGCTCACAATACGGAAATTGATTTTTGCAATTCTTATAGAAATACAACAAAAATTAATTTGAATTTTCAGCAAATAGTTGATTCGATAAGTAACATTGTACATAAATACCAATCGATGGTAATTATTGGTGATAACTATTGGTTAATAACAAGTGTTTTGGGTCAGCCTTTCGTCCAAAACGATGAATACCCGGGATATGCAGTGTTTAATAGGAAATCGTATGAAAGTAACCATTGGTTTGACTCACAATACTTGGCAGTATTTAGTGTCGTTCATAATGACAACACACATGTTTATGGATTTTTAAACGTAATAATTAAACTTTAGATAATCTATTATATTTGTTCATAATGGTATATTCGTGGTATATATATATAATTTAATTGATTTTATCATATTTGATTTTTATATAGATCATAAACAATACAATTAAGTGGTTAATTTACAAAGATCACACTTATGAAACACTATTTGATGGTCGCAAACAATTCTACACTGGTGAAACAATAACAAACTTTAAATTAGATTTCAAACCGACCACGAGTTTTGCATTTAAAAATTTGCGGACAATTTGTTTTATGAACCAAATGTCTGTCGGAAATGTTTTTCGGCGAAACTACCGGTGCTTTGATTTCACAAACATTAATAAACCGCAGGAACTGATTGTCGGACAAAACCAATGGCTGACACATAACGAGGACTACAATCTCAAGGCAATGATTGCCAAAACTGAGAGTCCGTACGAAGTGTTGGCTATATTTGTATTTAACCCTCCCCATGTAGACTGGCCTATTTTTAGGCACTTGCAACTTTAAAAATCAATTAAAAATCAACGGATGAGTCTATTGTAAAAATAATCCAGGAATGCCTCAAGAATACTATTATTTAAATATTTGTAAATTTTTAGTGATTAAAATTAATTCAGACTATAATTAAATCAACATTTTAACTATTTTTAGGCCAGTATACGCGTAACGTAAGTTTATTTCTCGTAGAACAACACTATGCTTCTCGCAGAAAGAATCTATTTATAGGCCAGTCTACACGTTACTCGTTGGCCTAATTTTAGGGCCAGTCTACACGCTATAGCATTAAAAATGATAAAANGTAAGTTTATTTCTCGTAGAACAACACTATGCTTCTCGCAGAAAGAATCTATTTATAGGCCAGTCTACACGTTACTCGTTGGCCTAATTTTAGGGCCAGTCTACACGCTATAGCATTAAAAATGATAAAATTGAAATACTCATGCGCGAACATATTCAGTGAAAGGCAGTATAATAAACAACGCTATGGCCTATTTTTAGTGCCAGTCTACACGATTACTGTTAATTTTTTTATAGGCCTGTCTACACGATACGTTTATATTTTCACTCAACGCGGGAAGGGTTAAACATCGCTATCAATATCTGGTGCTCTATAAAGAAGGCCTGGATATCACGTATTGTATTGAAGAGTATTTTGGTAATCGTAATGGAGTAAGTATTGTGTCAATCCAAAAGTAATTTTATATTAACCAGGTTTATTTTTTAATAGTGTCATACACCTAAACGTACGCTAATAGCATGCAATCAATTTATATGGCAGTTACCAATCATATATTACAATTTAATGTGGTTATTAGTTACCATTGGTGTCATTATTATGATTGTATATATTATTGTAATGGCTTTTAAATGGGTTAAAAATTATATATCAACCACTTTTGCTTCTTTATGGTAGAAATGCATTATATATTATACATTGTATATGATTGAGTAAATTAGAGATTAATACTATATTTAACGCTAATTAATTTAATCTAGTTGGGGTTAAGTAAAAGTTGGTTTTATACAAACAAGAATTGATAATAAATCTTATACTTTAATTAAATAAAACAAAACTAAATAAGTATTCTTTTGTACTATTATTTACGTAAAGATTTCATTAATTATTAAAAGTTTAATTTATAAATTAAATTTTACTTTAATAATTTCAGTATACTTGATAGATTTATCATTTATTAATAATATTTTTACACTAACAAAGTAATGTGACATTAATAATGTGTAAAATTAATAAATAGCTAATTGTATGACTAATATACACTAAAATACTATAAATGCAATAAGTTAAAATTGAACTTTATTTGTCATTTATGATGAATAATAATCATGATTATATTAACGCAGTATATACTCAAAATTGTCAATGTAATATTCACGATATAGTAATTATCATTGTAATTAGTAATTACTAATTATCATGTAAATTCATAACCTATTGATATATGAACACCAAATACGGTCCCTATCAATTAAAATATGGTTCTTAATTATTTGGTTATAACAGGTATTTAATGAAAACTAAATTAAATTAAACTTGTTAAAATAATTAACTAATTTCTATTATCATTAAAAGCAATGCTGTGTTTGTTATCACAACTCAATGCCAGCAATGAATCGGTTGACTTTTGCCATCTCTATAGAAGTAACCGACAAATTGATTACAATTTTCATTTAATAACCAAATCGAGAGATGAAATGATGTTAATTATGGACAACAAGTATTGGTCACTCAATCGTAACGACACAACCATTCATTTGAATACAAACTCATCGACAAGTCATTGGTTTGATGGCGAATACATCGCAACATTTACTGTTAATTATGGTAACAGAACTGCATTTGGATTCATTAAGGTATTTAATTACAAATCAACATTTTAGATATAATTGTTTTTATTTAACCCTAAATTATACCCATTATTAGCCCAATAAACTGCTTACTGATTGGAAAATATACAACGAGACCAGTCCAGACATTGTAAATGATTTTAAGGGCACTTCAGATGCAGTCATACCTGTGACCAATACCACTGGATTTGATAAAACACAGCCTAACTTCGGTATACAAGTTGTAAATGATAACAATATCTGTCTTATAAGTCAGATGCGGGTGAAAAATGTGTATAAAAGGGTTTATAACTGCTATGATATCGGTAAAGTAAGGCATGTTTTTCTTAATCGCCCAACCAATGCCATTCCCGCCGGCGGTCAAAGTGGCCACAAAGTAATTGCTGTATTCAATGACTATAACTTTTCTTTCAAACGGCTTCTATGGCTCTACGCCGACGAACTAGAGATCAGGTACTGTTGGACACAAACTTATGCCATGTCTACCGATGTATGTTATAATTGTTTTAAAAATTATACACTAAATTAATTACATTTCATTGCCCAAAACAGTGTTTTCCAAACAGTACTACGTTAATTAACTGCGAACCTGAACCTAGATCAACTTCAACGTCGACTACAGAGACAGTGGCTAAAACTACCACTACTAGCTCAACACAGGCGTTGTCGACATTACTAACTTCAAGCCAAGTACCAAACCAAAGCCCAACACCAAACCCAAGTCCAGGTGTCAATTACCTGGTAGTGGGAAATGTGGTGGCATTTCTGGCACTGGTAGTCATGATCATCGTATCCGCCATTAGTATGATATTGTGTTACATTTGGAGGGAGGAAAAGTTTGTTACAGTAGACTTTGTTTAATATTATTAATGATTCTCACAAAACAAAACCATTTCCCGTTTTTTATTAATTGGTTTTATTAACATTTTTGTCAGTTATTTAATAATGATTTTTTGAAATTAATTATGATTTTCATTTTTAAACAAATGATTTGTGTATTTTTTATTTAACGTTTTATTTTTTGTAACTTATGCTTTAAATGTTTATTTTATTATGTCATTTCTACATATAATTAACATTGAAATAAGTTACAATTAAATTAATGGTATATAATATTAAAATAAAACAAATTCTTTCTTCAATTTGATCAATTATTTGTTTCATTTTATACTAAAAGATTTGCCACAAAAAAAATTAATCAAAAATTATTTATAAATGTACTTCATGGTGAATTTATATTTTTTAAATCATTAATTAATATTTAAATACAATTAGAGGTCATAGTGTAAACGTAATAAATATTTATATTTATATACTGTACATGGCTATTATTAGTAACAGGCTAGTTTTAAAATAATAATAGACTAAATTAATAATTTTCAAAAATAAGAGAGAATTTTTTAGAAATTTATTTGTAATAGATATTGTATTTCAATGTATACTATACTGTACATTACTTGGCTAATTAATTATATACATGTATCTACATAACAATAGCTACAATATTACAACATAAATTAAAAGTTTCAATAATTAGTTTTAACTATTAATTACCCTAAAAACAATTACTCTAAACTACAAACTGTTTGATGGATTGATACAGTGCTATATATGTAGAAAATACACAACTATAGTAATTAAGCTACTGTATTAATATTACTTACTGATGAATTACCTGGTACATATTGCTATGTATACAATACATTTTACTATGTAGTAGTGCTCACTGACTGCAATTGCTCACTACGTTTGGTTAACTCCATTTGAATGATTCGTAGCAATACTATAGCGCACAATGCAATTACCTGTTTATAAATAGGAAATTAAATATACATGTTTAAATGATATTAAAATTAAATCCAATTTCTGAAAGGGGTACGGGTTATATAACACGCATACCTCATAACCGCGAAAATAGTTGATGATAAAAAGTTTGGCGCAAGAAAAGCCCACCTTATTTTTCTTGCGTACGCCTATGCGCTCAAATAAATTCAAAAACTGCAATAAATGCATAAAAAACAAATTAATTAATTAACTAGATCAAACACAAACATACTTTGAATCCATGCCGGGCCATAACCACGGTGGACTGTCGGGCCCTCATGGTAACCAACTTATACGTGGCCAGCAGTTTGTACGTGCGCTTAGCCTCCAGACATACGGTGGCGCACGTGTCGATCAATATGATTAATAGCAGGGAGAAGAAAAAGGTGGCGTAGACCAAGATGATCGTGATGTTGACCGACATGTTCTCGTAGCCAAACGCGAACATAAAAATGATCAGGGCGATTACCGCCGAACTGGTCAGCCACACGACGCCCAAAAAGCGCGACCAATAGTTACCGTCGATACTCATAATCTCCAGGTATATGTAATGCAGCGAACGGGTGACCCGATCGGTGTCGGCGCCGGTCACCGGCCGTCCGGCGCCGATACACTCGCGCAGGTAATCGTTGACCGTTTTCTGTTTGCACGTTAGATAATAGGACAGTATGTAAAAGTAGAGTATCTGAACGGTTAGCATACGGAATATAAAGTACGAGCCGATGAAAAAGTGCATAGTATGGAAAAGGCCCAGGGTTATAAAATCCAGGAAACTCACGCGCCATATGTACGAGAAAAATGAGATAAAAAACGCGCATGATGACATCGAGTAGCTGAGAAAGTCCATCGACTTGAACACTAGACGAGTGCGGGCGAGCAGGTCGCGCACCAGACGCTCGTTGGTCAGCCCTATCGACGCGGGCGCGATCACGCCCGACATCATGGTGAACACTTTGAGATAGCTGGGCTGTCGGCCCGCCAGCCAATAGTAATAGTGCAATATCTGCGACCAGATGGACATGTTGTAGACCAGGGCGGCGGTCATGTTCAGGTGGAACTGCATGTTCATGAAGTAGCCGTAGTCGCCGATGAGCAGGTAGAATCGGTCGCCCCGATCCCCGTCAATGCACACGCTGTACGTGAATCGGATGAGTAGTGACAGTGTTGTGAGAAACACGACAATCGGGTGATGTATTAGTGGCCGCTTTTTGGTGCCCATTTGGTAGAATGTGGCCCCTATTAGATAGAGGTGCGCTCCGGACGACTCGATTCGCATACTCTCCGGTATCGGCTCCTGGAGGTTGAGCTCCGGCTCATTGGGTTTGGGCGGCTCCGGGCTATTAGCGGGCGATTCAGTTGCCGTGCGTTTATAATTTGCCATAATATGTGTGATGTTTGCTATCAGTGGTTAAAATGTGTAATAATTATTACAACATATTTTGTTTTACATTGAATTTAGATACTATTTCCACATATTTTGTTATTCAAATAAGTTAAATTAATTATACGGTGAAATTACCTAAATCATTCTTATAGCACATGTTTAAAAAGACACGCTTGATTAATTAAATTAAATTATTTCTAATGAAAATAACATGATTTATTGTAATGCTGACAAAATATAAAAATAATATTGCTTTGCTTTACCTATTGTTATAAATAGTGTACAATATTTCTTATGTTAACTAATAAATGTATTTTTATAAAGTACAATATATTGTTTGCGATCATTAATTCAAATAATAAATTTGTGTAATTTATTATGTACATATTTTATCCTAATTTATTGTCTAATAAATTTATAAAATAAATTACAATAATTAATAACAAATATATTTAGAAACAAAAATTTATTTGTTTTTGCATAAAATAATTATTTAAACTAATAAATATATGCAGTATACTTATGTATACGTATGTTTATACAGTATTTATTTTGTTTAACAAGATTTTATTAAACATTTACCATTATTTCTTATTTAATACTATAAAATTAAGCAATTATTTAAATATGTTTTTGTTTTATTTTATTTACATAATAAGAATTTA